TTAAAATCTAGGTGCCAGGCAATGTCGCCACCCTAAACAGGGCAGCCAAGCCGAGGTGACATCCACCCCCCGAGAAGGGGTGCTGGGGACCCCAGGAGCTGTGACCAAACCGCCCCAGCAGCATCCCCCCTGGGGGTTCGGTGTCCTCCCCTCCCATGGCTGAGCTGCCCAGGGGTGGGGAAGGGTTAATCAAGCTTTCCTCATTTGCAGCCCAGCAAATTAGGGTGCTCCTAGAAGTTGCCTTAGGTTAGGGTCCCTCCCAGGGGGTGGGTTGTGTTGGGGCTGGGGGAGAGGGGGGGTATGGCCCCATGGTGACCCCAGCCCCATGGTGACCCCAGCCCCATGGTGACCCCCACTGTGGCCAAGGGCAGGGCACAGCAGTCCTTTAGCCCTTGGTGTCCCCAGGGGCAGGAGCTTCCAGGGCCCCATTTGCAAACCTGGGGAATGTAAACATTTACTCTGGGCTGTCTCCAAGGGAAATATCCGTGGTGAGGTGTAAATTCGCCGAAATCCCACCAAAAAAAAAAAAAAAGAAATTATTTGATGGGAGGATTAACTGGTTTGGGGGGGAGCTGTGGTCGGAGCGGGGGCTGGTGTGGGGCAGAGGGCAAGATGGGGTGGCAGCGGGTGAGCTCCCCAGGGATGGCAAACGCCAGCTGGAGGTTTGGCTTTGCTAGAAAGCAGGGCTAGCCCTGCCAGGGCACTGTCACCGAGCTGGCTGCCCGAGCTGCTGCTGGGGCCAGGGAAAGGGAGCAGGGCCATGGGCTTGGGGGAGCTGGGAGCCATCTCCCATCCTGTGTCCTTCACCACCAGGAACGCCATGTCCTGGGAAAGCTTCGGCTGGCGTGGGAGGGCTGGGGGTGGGATACATCCCTCAAACACCCAGGGAACCCACGGAGGAGGGTGTCTCTGCCATGGGCAGCGTTTCCCAAAGCTTTAAACCTTCACCAGTGCTACTGGAAAAGTGGCTTAGCCCTGGCATGGGTGCCTGAGTGGTGTGGGGTGCTCCTCCAGCTCCAAGGAAACCCCCAAAATGCTCAGCGACTGCCTGGGGACTGCTGAAAGCCCAACACAACACATCAACAGCCAGGCTGGCCACAGGGATGCTCCGGTCACCCCTCACAGATGAGGCCGTGGGCGGCACGAGGCAGCTCCTTGCCAAAAACGGGGAGCCTGTGGGAGCCAAAACCAGGGGCTCGACCTTTCCCACCCACTTCCCAGGCTCTGGGGAGATGTGGGGCCACGAGGCTGCAGCTCCTGGCTGTCACGCTGCTTGAACCTTGCTGTGTCCTACAGCCAACAGGGTCTGGTGTGTGTGCCCAACACGGTGCCATGCTCCCCAGCACGGGGAGCTTGAACCAAGGCTTGAGCCAGGGCTTGAGCCACCTCCTGGGACAGAGACAGGACAGAGCCAGAGAGCTGCTGGGGGCTGTGCTCCCTGCCCCACTAATTCTCACCACGGGAACAGCCACACACTTCTAATTATATCCCCCTAATTGCCCCCGTGGGGCTTTGGTGGCTTTTCTCATGGTTAGAAGGGTCTTGGAGGCCAGAAGGAGGGGGAGAGTGTGGCACGTGTAGTGGTGGCACAGAGTAATGTGTCCCTTCCACGTGTCCCGGATCCCCACCACGTGCAGGGAAAAGCTGAGCCACTCCGGGATTGTGTTTTTCTAAAACCAAAATAAAAATAAGGAACCTGTTCCTCCAAGTCCCCCCTCCTTGGTTCCTGGAACGGAATCAGCCTCAGTGGAGGTGGACAATAGGGGAGGATTTAACGAGCCACACTCAGACGCCATCTCTGCCACTGAGCTTCCGTGGGGCCCTGGGCATGTCACCCAGTGTCCCTGCTGTGCCGTGCCGTGCCGGAGGCAGCGTGGAAGAGCTGAGGGTGCCAGGGGCTCCACCAAGACTGTCCGAGGGCACTGTGCCACTCCACCCAGCCGGATCAGGGGCCCCCACCCCAAATGGCAGACGTGTGGAGCAGGATGACCCTCGCACGAACCTCCCTCCTCGGTTGTTTTTCCACCAGAGCTGTGCTGGAGCCAGCCCCCGCCTGCTGCAGATGTTTGGCAGGAGGCCGGGGGCAGGAGGCCAGGAGCTTCCAGCCCCCCAGCCTCCATGCTGCCGCGGCCATTCGCCTCCCTGGGCTGTCCCCGAGCCACGGGCCGGGGGGCTGCAGAGACCTGGCACCAGGGTGCAGGGCCACGGTGGGTACAGGGAATGTGAAAACAGTGGTGGAGACCACAAACTGCTGGCTGGGCTTGTCCCAGAGCTTCTTCCACGCAGAGTGATGGGGATGGTGCCAGCAGCGTGTCAGGGATGATGGTGAGGGGCTCAGGCAGCATCCCCCCCGGCTGGCAGTGGTGCTGCTGTCCCCCCTGGCACCCTGACATGGCACCAGCCCTGGGGCAACCTCTGAACTTTTGTTCTAGGTGTGCAACAGGAAGCAAAGGCAGAACAAGCTCTGCCGCCTCCGCAGCTCACCCTGCCCTGGTTCTGCCCCTGCAACCACTGCCCTGGTTCGATGGCAACCTCCCTGCTGGCCACGGTGCCCTTTGGAGTGGGGACATGCCCCTGCACCCCCTGGGCTATGGGTGCGGGTGCTGCCCCTTCTGGCATCCCCATCCCTTCCTCTCCTACTCAAAATTTTGGTCCCTGCAGAAATGCCCCTGGCCCGTTGCCACCCCCAAAGGGGGCAGGGGCACACAGGGACAGATGCCAAGCAGGGGAAGGGAGACGGGTGGCTGCTGCTATCCCCTCCAGCATGAAAAGCCCCCCCAGCTTCTCTGGCCCCACAGGGATTTGCTCTTCACTGAGGCTGGGGATGGACGAGCCCACCAGCCCTAGTGTTTGCGATGTGCTCCTGGAGACGCCGCTGCAGCCTGGGGCGCAGGGGGCGGTTTGGGACCCCCTAAGCCTCCCTTTGGGGCCACAGGGCTTGTGTTTGGGTCTTGGATCAGCAGTTTCTCCAGGCAGCACTTCCCCTGCAGCACCCAAGACGTTCGGGGTCACCTCCTGCTGCACAATTGCTGCTGGGGCTCCCCACAACCTTCCAGAGGAGCCGCAGGGACGTCCCGTCTGACAGGGACAAGGCAGCCGAGCCGGACACGTGCATCCCCGGGGGTGGCTCTGACTGTTTCGCAGAGGTGAGGTGAGAGGCAGCATCTCATATCACCTCCTGCCCGGGGGGGCCACCAGCATCCATCCCGGATGGTCACCCCCAGCAACAGCCCCCCCAGAGCTCCCGCCGTGCTCCAGTACCAGCAGAGAAACATCCCAGGGGATGCTGAACCACCTCAATGCCTGCATCACCCCCGCCTGCCACAGCATCACCGCTGCAGGACCCGCTCCCCAACGGGTAGGAAAAGGCTTTTTTGTCCTTTTTTTTTTTTTTTCCCTCAGCAAAACACCACGCAAACGCTGCCTCCGAGCTCCCAGCACTATTCAGGCACTGAGGCCAAGGCCACCGGGGGGGGGATTTGCTTTTCTTGCTCAGTCCTGGAGGAGGAATTTCCGACTACACAGTGCACGTTAAAGTCATCCCCACCATCGACACGCTTTAAAACCACCGTGGCTTCTCCCCGCTTTCCCCTCTACCCCAGTTTTGCTCGGTGTGGTTTGTTGTTGCCGTGAAGCAAACCCATCTTTCCACAGCTTTGCAATGCCTTTCCTGGAAATGTTTGCCACAGGCTTGAAACTTCCCAGAAGACTCCTGCCATGAAAGGAAACCTCTCGCAACCCCTGGCTGCCCGTGACAAGGGGGCACAGGAAGGTGAGGACAGCCACCGGGCAGTGGGGGTTTGCAAGCTTTCCTTGGGATGTTTTGAACCAAACTTTCTCAAAACGCTGCAATATTTGTGGCTTCTTCTCTGTTTCTCTTCCAGCAAAGCTGCTCAGCTCTGGTTCCTGGCGTCAAACACCCTGGCTGTCCCCACACCGACGGTGTCCCCGGGGAAAAGGATGCCGGGGGTGGAACACGGGGGGAAAGTTGCTCCCACCCACCACAGCCATAATCTCCTCCAGCTGTGGCCACTGCAACGTGCCAGAGAGGGAGGGAGAGAGGGGGGACAACAGGAAAATAACTCCGGAGAGAGAGGACAAGCTCAAAATAAGAAATTTGATTCTGGGCCGGGCGAGGATATGTGTCTCTCCCACCCACCACAGCCATAATCTCCTCCAGCTGTGGCCGCTGCAACGTGCCAGCGAGGGAGGGAGAGAGGGGGGACAACAGGAAAATAACTCCGGAGAGAGAGGACAAGCTCGAAATAAGAAATTTGATTCTGGGCCGGGCGAGGATACGTGTCTGCTCCCTCCCCGGCACAACCACAGCTCCAGCACAGGCGTTTCCACTCCCCGGGGACACAGCCCCCAGTGAGGGAGGTGTTTGCCCAAGGTCTTGCTTCCCTGGGAATCGCCTGCCCCTCTGGCCCCGAGGCCAAAAGCAAACCCGGTGCCGGCTGTCGCCGATCAAGCCGCATGGGGACAGGGCACAAGGTTTCCAACACCGCGGGGCTGGTTGTTTTCCAGCAAAGAAAATGGGATTTGAACAATTCCCACCAGCATCACCGTCGCGTTTCCCCACATCCCAGCCTGATTCATCGCGTTATTCGTGACCTTTCTTGCCGTGAGTCACCAGGACTCCTGCCACACGCCAGAGCCCAGCACAGGGCTGGTGCTGGGGAGCGATGCTGGTCACCCAACTGGGAGAAAAGGAGCTGTCACCACCACCAGAAGGTCCCCAGGGGACCCTTCTCACTCTCTGTCTGATGGTCACTGCCACCATCGCAGCCCGGTTCAGGTTTGCACCCCCAGAGTGTGGGGCTGGGCTGGCAGCGTGCCCCCCGTGGGGCTGTGGCCAACAGGCTCAAAGGCTGGGCGAGAACCCCAGGAGCTTTGAGACAAATCCATGCAGGTCAGCAGCACGGGGAGGGCTTCTGGAGAGGCTGCAAAGTATCTTAGATCCTGCCCACGGGTACCCAGACACCACCCCTAGTGTGGACAGAGCTGCACAACACGCTTGTGTGTAGAATAAAGTCCGTTTATTTCATACCAAGGGACAATCTAAGAGCTTACATGGTCCCTTGCCTCTGCATGGGCACAAACCCCCGCTCCCCCTGCTTTGCCTGCCCAGGCGAGGGGCGGCACAGACCCCCCCAGTGGGACCAGCATGCTGGCAGGAGCTGCCCACACTCTGCCTTATGAAACCCAGAGGAACCAAGCATCCCATAATGTTTTCCTACAGTTTCAGCAGATATCGGATAGAGGAGAAGCTGGTGCCAGCTGCACATCTGCTGTGCAGCCAGGACGGGCTCTGTCACCGGTGCTTTTAGCCGAGTCTCCAAACGCACAACCAAGAAGCCACATGCATCTTACTTTTGTCCCTTCTTTCCCAACCACCCCGACAGCTGGGACTCCAAGGAAGGAATAATTTGCCGGCCATTTCCACTCCTTGCTGCTCGCCTGGGAAGAGATGGGGTCGCCAGCGAAGGCGAGACCAGCCCACTGCCTCATGGGAGCGAGTCGTTTCTAGCTGGACACATCCACAAAGTCACACATCTCCCCGCTGGTGACCAGGCCACTATCTCCTTGATGGTCCCCGTGAGCTCGATGGGTAAATAGGAGGCAGCAGGCTCACCCGCTGAGAGCCATGTCCAGGGGCAGGTGTCTGGGTGCTGGGTCACCCTGGCTCCTGCCCATCTCTCCCCAGCTCTCGGGGTGCCCCATCGGGCTCTGCAGGGTCCCCAGCATGAGGTCCCATGGCTGTGGACCCCCTGGCAAGCTGGCCATCCCTCATTGCCTCAGTCTCACACGATGCCATTGCGCGTGGGGTGAGTCCGTACCCGGTAGATGATGACGGCAGTGGCCGGGCAGAGGACCAGCGCCGTCATGATGAAGATGGTAGCCAGGATGATCAAGACGATGACCCAGATGTCCAGGATGTGCTTGGGGAGGGCGGTGGGATCTGCAAGGTCAGGAAGGTCCATCCTGCAAGGGAGAGGCAGAGGGGTGATGGGGCAGCCCCCTCCATCTCTCCCATAGCCAGAACCCCCCCATCGCTCTGAGCACCCCGCTGCTTTCTCTGGGCAGACCCCTGTGGCTACATCCAGCCTTGGTCTCCTGCTCCTTTGAGGGTAAAAGGCTTTGGTAAAGGCTCCTTCCAGAAGCCCCAGGATTTATAGTGTGCTTTGATGCAGCTGGATAAAAGCCCGGGGAAAAAACTTCCCTGTTAATTGCAGTTAAAGGAACTGATGGAGCAAAGCCACAAGCGGGCATCCCGCTGGTCATGTACCAGGGTGACCCGGGTGGGAAACAGCAGGACCAGGGGACCTGGAGTCCATTTCACTTTGGGGGAGCCCCACCCCCCCCCAGACTCCCCCCTCCACCCGGTACCTCCTGCTGAGTCACGGGACTTAATATCTTAATTAGCACCCCTCCAGCCCTGGGTCCCGCAGCTGCCGTCCAGCCTGGCCGGGGCTCGGGGGCACAACCGAGAGCACCGGGCTGAGCCCCCACGTCCCGCCCG